CCGCGTGGGCCTCCATCGGGGACTCCCCACGGCACAGTTCGCAAGCGCGTCCCCCAGTCTCCCCAGCACAAGTAGAGCCGGCCAGTCCGGCAGGTTGAGAACCCAGATCTCCCCTGGGGGGTCCAGCCCGACCCCTCGTGCCCTCCCCCTCTTTCCTAACCACCTGCCAGTGCCCGGCCTGAGCTGGCCCTGGGCTCAGGGGACGTAGCCCCGGCCCTGGAGGAATTCCCTCCCCAGTCTGGTTCACACGTGGACTCAGGCTCTGCCCCTGGGATCCACACTAGAGAGACAGGAATGGTTTTCTGTAAAACCCGCCCACTGCAGTCACCCCTGCATGGGCTCCTGCTGCCACCCCATGCTTGCGAGCACACTTGAGCAGTGACGCCTGGCCACCAGCAAGGACCTGGCCCCTGGGGACACCGGCCGCTCCGCGATCTGCCTTAGGCCCATTTCTTCGCTTACCTGACTGTCACAGACCTGAGAGGGGGCAGAGTGAGCAGTATTGTCCCCAGAGAGGATGAAGGGAGCCACTTCCGGTCGCACAGTATGTCAGTGACAAAAGCTCAGTGTCAGGGGTGTCAGAGTTGGGCTCAGTGGAGAAATGAGCCCCGGGAGGAGGCAAATGTGCCCCAGCAGGTGGGCCCCACCCCAGGCCCAGTCCCGCCCCAGTTGGTGCCAAGATGGAAGTCAGCAGGTGTCAGGACTGTGCCCAGAGCAGGCGCAGGCGTGTGACCTGGGACAGCCCTGGCCCCTCTGTGGGCCTCAGTATCCCCCTGAAAAGTGAGGGTGAGACCCTGTGCACTGGGGTCTCACATTCTGGGCACCTGGGATTCTTAGGAGGCAGGTGGAGAACTCATGCTTGGAGCCACCAGCTTGGGCACCACATGTCCAGGTGTGGTCTCGGGGGGGAGGGGGGGCTCCAGGTGGCCGTGGGCGGGCCCAGCACTCGGATGGGGAGCTAGCTGGGTTCTGGGCAAGGCTGGCACCAGCATTCTTGGGTGACATGGGGCAGGGTGTTTACTGCAAAGGATTCCTGCTCCTGCCCACGCTCCTCTCCAGGGAACCTGCGCAGAGGGAAGTCCCAGGGGACTCCCCTCCCCCCTGGGACACAAGTGTCAGGGAGCCCAGCCCAGAGTCCATGTGGGGAAGGGGGTTTGGGGGAGGGAGAAGGCTTTGCCCTGTCTGCCAGTTGAGGTGGGACCGATTCCTTGGCTCTGACACCTGGCCCGGCTCCCGGGCATGACTCTTGTCCAGGGCGTTGGGAGAAATTCGGAGGCAAGTGTGGAAGGGAAAGTCGGCATTGCATGTTTTTCTTTCCTTTACACAAGCAAAACGCGTTCATTCTAGGGAAATACAGACAAACATAAAGAAGAAACCAAACCACCCAGGGAGAGCCCCTCCGGCTCCTAGAAAGGCTTTACAGATCACATGACTCAGGTCCCAGCCCCTCCCTGGGCAGCTCCAACCCTCACCCCATGGCCCAGTGGCCTGTCCTGCCTCCTTCCCCGGAGCCAGCCTGACTCTTGGCTTGTGTGGAGGGAAGTCCTGGGCCTGAGGGCTTGCCCCCTGCCCAGGGCTCCTGCCTCCTTCCCTCCCTGGGACACAGGCCCCGTGTGCAGACAGGAAGCCTGAGGAACACCGAGGCCACCTGGCTTCCTCCGAGGGCACCCACTCCCGGCCCCTGCCTGGCTCTTAGAGAAGCTCTTCAGCCATTTCCCAAACCACAATGTCAGCAAGCAGGGTGGTGGGGATGGTCTGGGGTCTGGGGAGGGTCTGCTCAGTGCACAGCCACAGGCCAGGAAGTGATGCCACAAGGACAGTTAACACGTATGTGTCCCAGGCACTGTTCTAGGCACATCATGCAAACGAGCTGATAGAGAACCCGCAGCCCCGTGTGGTGGGTGCTCCCGGCTTATGCTTTTGCACAGGGACCAGCAAAGCCCAGAAGGCAAAACCATTTCCTTAGGAACCGCAGGCCACCTGGCCTCCTGCGGGGCTGGTACGCTCCAGGCAGACCCCGTGGGCACAGGAGCCTGGAGCACTCGCCGCTATGTCCCGGGGTCAGGCAGGGCCTGGTGTGCAGGTGCTGCCGCCTCTGAGAGCCTTGAGTGTGGCCTGAGGCACCGACCCTGCCCTCTGTTTGCTTTTCAGAGCTGTGCCCGGGACACAGCCCCCTGGACCCGACGCCCCCCATGCTGATGCAGCCCATCTCTGCCCTGCTGGCCTCCGACCCCACCGGCTGCCCCCGCTGCCAGCACAGAGCGGGCCACCGGCCCTCGGGCCTGGGCAGCACCGACTCAGGGCAGGAGGGCTCGGGCTCGGGGGGCTCCGGCGGTGGAGAGGACGAGGCCGATGGGGACGGGGCCAGGAGCAGCGAGGACGGGGCCTCGTCGGGGCTGGGGAAGGAGGACGAGGAGGAGCGGGCAGACGGGTGGGGGCGGGCCACCCAGGCCAGCCCCACACAGCTGGGTGTGTGGGACACCCACGTGTGTCTGTCTCCCCCTGACCAGGGCTGGGTCCCGTTCGGCCATGTGGCCTGAGTGCCGAGCCCAGGGCCAAGCACCAGGCAGGACAGGGTGTGAGTGGGTGAAGGAGTGCCCGAGTGCAGCAGTTTTGGGGCTCATCTTCTTGGGGGGGAAAAGGGAAATCAGGTCCTCTTTCTTCAGCAGCTCAGCAGGGACGCCAAGGCGCCCACAGCACACCCCCCTCTTAGTCCCTGCAAATCTGACTCCCGTTCACGGCTTCTCCATGTGAGCCCTCCTGTCACCCTCCCCGGGGCAGCTGGGGTGAGGTTTCCCGAGGCTGCGCTCTCCCCTGTCCACACCTTCTGCAGCACCCCATCGCCCTTGGCACCGAGCACAGACCTTTCCCCTGACATTCACTCTCCTTGTGCGCTGCCCACAACATACGCTCTGCCAACAGGGCGTGCTCCTGTCCCTGGTGCCCCACTCCCCAGCCTCCCCAGCCCACGGCACTGAGGTGTCCTGTGGCTGCCTGTGAAGGCTGTCACCCGTCTCCCTCCTCGGCCACATGGTGTGTCCCAGGCCATCAGGGGTACAGCTGGGGTTCGGAGGTGAGAGGAGTTCAAAGGAGGAGTCCCCCAGGGGGAATAGCACCTGGAAGAGAGATGGCTCCCAGGAGGTGGCAGGGACACGGGAGCTTGAGGAAACTGTAGGGACACAGGCTGGAGGGCTGTAACCCAGATGTCCCCGGTCCACAGTGCCAGCCTGGATGACCGCTCCAGCCCTGGCTCCATTTGGAAAAACATCTATTTCTGGCTCCCAGTGTCCCCCAGCCCATAGGTGACCCCAGCCCCTGGGAGGGCATTTGACAGCTGGGCCAGGGAGGGATGTCAGTGGCCCCAGGTCCCCTGCCAGTCCCTGCAGGTTTAGAACCTGGATGCCGCCCTGGCTCCCCTGCCACCCTCCCTCTGCAGAGGCCCCGCCCGCCCGCAGCGCCCCGCGGTGGGCCACACTCTCATTTCCCTCTTCATTAGTTTGCCAAGCACAGGCCCCATTCCATTTACTTCAATGTGGCCCCCGGGGCTGCCGTGACACTGTGCAGAGCTGCTGGGTTGCCAGCCGATCTGGCTTAATTACAAAGGTCTCGGGAGGCCGGGGAGGGCTCTGCAGGGGAGAGCTGGGGAGAAGGCAGCCGACCCCTGGCCTGGGGTCCAGCCTTGTGGCCTTTGCCCGGCTCAGGCCTGCGTGGGGCCAGCATTTCTGGGGGAGGCCCCACAGGGAACAGGAGCTCTGGGTGCTGGCGCTAGTGGGGTGGCACCCAGGGGGCCTGTCACCGAGCTGGGCACTGTCCCCCAGTGGCTTGCTGGAACCGGCTGGCAGGAGCAATCTTCTCACGCAGGAATTTTGCAAGGCCATTGTTAGAAACAGCTGGGAGCTGAAATGGCCTTGGAGGGAGTGTTTACACCATGGAAGTTGGCGGATGCTACCGTCAGGGTTGTTCTGCAGAGGCCTGTTTGCCAGTATAATACGGGTCCCTGTCTTCTCACTGGTCCCCTCCAGGGCAACACAGCAGCTGGGCCGCTCTGTGCTCTGGGTTCAATCTCTCCCTCTACCTGTCGGGCTCCAGCCTCAGGCCGGGCCAGGGTCCCTGCCCACACCTCCGCCTCCGCCATATCCTGCCTGAGCAAGCTTTCTGGCCTCGGATGTGGTGGAGCCTCTTCTTCCTGGCACTGCAGGCACCCCGTGGGCCCCCCTCAGGCCGGGAGAAGCTGTTCTCACTGGCAAGTCACCTGTGCCTCCATAGGGTCTGCCTCGGTTTCTCCCCTTTCCCTCATAGGGATCAGCTCCATTAACTGAGCACCTACTACACGGCAGGCCCGGAGCCTGCGTGGTGCACTGAGTCCTCACAACCTCCTCATAGAGTGGCTGGGAGGGTTAGGAAGCCTGGCACACAGTAGGTGCTGGCGAGTTAGGAATTGTTCCTGAATCTTTTCTCGGAGCCTTACACCACCACTTTCAGGGTGACTTTACCATCTGCTGCCTGGAACCTCAAAAATCAATGAAAGGGAAAGTGAGGGGGAGGGAGAATTTTTAAAATGCTCTTTTTAAAGCAGCTCCGAGTGGCAGCCATTGTTCGGCAGAGCTCTGCGCGGGGTATGTTTGCTCCCTCTTCCCCGACTCCCAGACATTGCTCAGTGGGAAGCGGTCCGCCCTGTGTTTATTTTGAGCTGCCCTGTCTGAGAGGCGCCTGCAGAGAGAGGTGGCCCAGGGCCGGAAGGAGCAGGGAGAGCAGGGGAGAAGGCAGGTGAGCACAGCCCCTCTCCTGCAGGGCTATGACCTTGAGGGGAGGCGTCCTAGGGGCCCGCCACGCTGCGGCTGCCCACTCCGCTGGCAGGGACCTTGGTGTGGCCACCACGGAGGCAGGCGGTGAGGGGGCACAGAGCCTGGGCACTCCTGCCCTACTCCATCTGTAAAGTGGGGGGCTGCTGCCGCTCTGGTCACGGTACTCAAATGAGAGGTGAGATCACAGGTCCCCGTGGCCATCAGGTGGTCACTGCTGCCCAATCACGAGGGAACATCTCCAGTTTCCTCGAGGTTGCAGAGTCCTCAGGAGGAAGTTCCTTTCAGGGACCGGCCTGGGAGAGAGTGAAGGCGTGTCAGCCGGGCAGGGGTCTCTTCTGACCCACGAAGTGGTCAGATGGTGCCGACATCTACCCTTCCCTCCCCCTACCATCCTGGGGGGAGGTGGGCCCAGACTATCCTTAACTGAGGCTGAGTGACAAGCATGTGGGTGAGGTCACTTTGGGCACCAGAGCCTCCATCGCCACCTGCTGTCAGGATTGGTCACATCTCTTCCCGGGGTAACCCTCATGGCAGCCCTGGGCGGTAGGCAGAGTGGGCGTCTTATCCCCTGGGCAGACGGGGAAACTGAGGCTCAGAGAGTGGGGATGGCTTGCCCAGGTGGCGGTGAGCAGCTGTTAGAGCTGGCGCTGGGGTTCTGAGGTTGAATTGGAGGTTCCACTAAGGGGACAGGAGGTGGGATGGGGAGACACGTACTTCTCCCTCTCCCGGCAGTCACCTGTCTAGGCCAGCGACCCCTCTGGAGCTGGGCTTGACTGTCCTGGAGTTGGAGGATGGTGGCCAAGCTGGGCAACAGAAAACAGAGGGTGGGGCTGAATGGGCAGCAGGACAGGCATACAGGGAGCCTCCTGGGCAGGGGTGACCCAGGCAGGGGATGTCCCCTGGCCCCAGCTCCCCGGGGACTGCATTCGAGGCCTCCAGCTCAGCGGGTGGGTCAAAGCAGGCGTTATTCTCCCTTCAGCAGCCCCCAAGACACTGCCGACCCAGGTCTGGGGTGACCCTGGGGAGATAAGGATGGGGTGGCTTAGTGCCCAACAGTCCAGCTCTGTGGTGGCTTGAGGGAGGGAGGCACCACCACGGGCTGCAGTCAGGGAAGGCTTCTCAGAGTCAGTGATACTGGAGATGGGTCCTGAAGGGTGACTAGGGTCCATCAGTGAGGCAGAGGAGGGGCAGGAGCAGGGACCAGAGGCACAGGCTCCACCCAAAGGGCCCAGAGTCCTTAGGAGGATGTGCACACGGGGTGGGCAGCCAGCCCAGGAGGCGGGGAGCTGTCCACCCATGGAGGGCTTTGAGGCTGGCTTTGTCCTTCGGGCCGTGGGGAACTGTGGAAGGCTTGTAAGCAGGGCGGTGACGTGTCTGTGCTGAACTGGACCCTCCAGCCAGGAAAGTGCGGCAGGTGAAGGGGTGTGGGCCCAGGGAGGAGATCTGGGTTTGAGATCCGATGCCACCACTGGCCGGCCATGGCCCTGGGCTGTCACCTCTCCTCTCTGAGCCTCAGGTTTCCTGTCTGTAAAATGGGGACACCACAGGGTAATGCTTGAAGCTGAGATGAGGTAATTCATGGAAAGTGCTCAGCACCGCCTGGTGTGCGGGAGGCGTTAATACCAGCTGCCGTTACTGTCATGGGGAGGCCTGGGGAACAGTTTAGACCCCTGCCCAGCTGGTCCTTTATCTGCCTCTGAAGGAATGGCCAGAGGCCGGGCCGCCTGGTGCCTCCCACGCCTGGCACTGGCATGGGTGATCTGGCCCTGCCCCTCTCCTGCCCTCTGCCCTCCTGCCTCTGGCTTAACCTGGCTTTTCTGCCCTTTGGCACCTCTTCTTCCACTGGGTGGGTCTGTGCCATCTCTGCTGCTTCTCCTCAGCCTGTCTGTCTGTCTGCCCTCCTGCTCTCTCGCTGACTCCCACAGTATCATGATCCTGGCCCGTTACGTCTTGATCTGTGTTTTTTCCGTCTTGTCTCTCCACACGCTGCCTTTGCCTCTCACTGCCCATGCCTATGTTTGTCTGTCGGTCTCTCTCTGCCCATCTCTCTCATGGCTGCCCCCGTTTCTCTGCACTCACCCCAGTAGGTCTCACTGTGTCTACATCTGTCGGTCTGTCTGTCTCTCCCCGTCACTGTCTCTCTCCCAGAGAAAGGCTTGCGGGAGTGATGGATGTGCACTAGGAAAAGATTAACAGGTGTGCACTTGACTGGAGAAACAGCTGTTGCCAGGGAGTCAGGGAGCGAGCGGGTGACCTTTCTGGGAGCGGCGGCTCTGCCATCAATTGCGGGCGGAGCGCGCGTGTAGCGCGTGGGGCTCGGAGCGGGGCGATGTGCAATTATGGGCTGTCAGCGTCCACATTTTTCATCTCCCGCGTGTCGAGCGTCGTTTGGCCTGCAGGGAAATTGGTGGCTCCAAGCAGCATCTGGGCCCCGACTTAGCCCTGATGCCGGGCCCAGCCCTCCCCACCGAGGGGCCCCCTCACGGGCCCCTCTCCCCTTTCGGGACCATTTTGTGAGTCAGATGTAATTACAGCCGGGGAGCGGGGCTTTCTCCTTTCATCTGGGCCGGAGCGGAGCTGGCAGCTTAATTCTATTTCCCAGGCACCAGGCAGGAAGCAGACAGTTGGTTTTTCTTTTTTTCCTTCTCCTTTTAACCCAAACGGAATTAGAGTCAGGCCTCTTAGGTATCTAGTTGTCAGGTAGAGGGACTGGGCCGGGGCGGGCGGTGCTGATGGCTGGCAGCCCCGCACCCTCCCGCCCTGACTCGGGCTGGTCCTTTGGCCTGGACGCCTTCTCTTGTCCCTGCCGCCCGCCCCTCTCAGCTCTGAGGCCTCAGCTGAGGTGTCCCTCCCTCCAGGAAGCTGCCCCTGATTCCAGGATCACCGCTCCCCACACCACCCTAACCGCTCCTGCTTTAGCCCCTGCTGGCTGGTTTGTTAGTTAACTTGCCTGTGGGGGCTTTGCCACCAGAACCCGCACTTCCCAGGGGCAGGAAGAACGTCCCAACTCACTCCACGGGCCACCGGGGTAGCACACGCCAGCACCTGGTGGTGGCTCACAGGCCTGTGGAATGCGTGCACTTGTGCAGGAGGGATGCGTGGAGGAGGGAGTGGAGGAGTCGGATGGGGTCTGTGTGTCACAGGAAAGCCGTTGGGTGTCTGACTCGGTGCAGGGCCCGGCTGGGCCACAGCCTTGCTGGGTGATGCTGAGCGAGTCCCATCACTGCCCGGAGCCTCCGAGCCTCCTCTCCTCTTCTCCGCCTCTTCCCTCTCCCCGCCTGTGGAACGGAGCCGCCTCCGTGGCCTCCCAGGTGGCCCGTGGCATCCGTACTTGTGCTGGTGTCCGGCCCAGCATGGGCGCAGTCAGGCCTATCACATGGTGCTTCCCTTGCCTGTGGCTCGGGCGGGAGCAGCCTGGCTCCACAGGGAGCAGAAACGGGCCTTCTCTGAGCCTGCTTCCTCGTCTGCAAAACGCGCTGCCTTCCACCGTTCGCTCTGACCAGCTTCGGAGCCTCAGTGTCCCCTCTGTCAGTGGGTCTCGTAACGCCTCCCTCGCTGTGCAGCTACAGCACCATTTCCAAACTCGTGGAAGGTCACCCCGAGGAGCCCCACCATCTCAGTGGGCCCTGCAGGATCCGGGCGGCAGAACTGCAAGGTCTTCAAGGCCACGGTGTAATGGGGAGATGGAGCACCAGCGAGGGCACTGACCTTCCGGGCCACCCAGCCGGGGGTGGCAGAGCCAGGCCTTGCCACCTCTCGGGGGGGGGGGGGGGGGGGGGGGGCGGGGCGGGGGGCGGGGGGGGGGGGGGGGGGGGGGGGGGGGGGGGGGGGGGGGGGGGGGGGGGGGGGGGGGGGGGGGGGGGGGGGGGGGGG